GCGAACAGAATATTATAAGAAAAGAATCCAAGGATAAGGAGGGTCTAGAAGTGTACGGCATGTTGAAGGAAGGAATAGGGTTCAAGGATTACCTACATGGACCAATGGATGCAGGAACAAAGCTTAAGGTCAAATTCAGGACCGGGGACATAGGCCTTCGAGAACGTCGACGAAGACATAGGACGGTAGACGAGGAAGACGACGAGTTCAAATGTGATTGCGGCTTCGAATGCGAAGACCGTGTTCATGTAGTCGCGGAATGTCCGTTGTACAAGAAGGAGAGGGAAGTGTACGTGACTGAGCTGGGAAAAATAGATGGGACGTGCAGGGAGATGTTTGAGGCATGAAATAGAGAGGGAAGGACGGTAGCTGTAGTGGGGCATAGGAGGTGGGTTGAAAAGGCGGGAAGGGATATCGCTAGGATAGACAGACTACGGAAGAGATTTTTGAGCCACCTTTGGCAAAGTGGAAAGGAATGATTGGCCATCGGTGATCGGTCCTGTGGGAACAATGCTCCGTCCTCTTGAGGACGCGTGGTCAATGGTCTACCCGCTATGGCATGCAAAACATAAGAGTACGCCCCCCCCCCCACCCGAGCCCGCCCCGCCCTCCGGTATTTGCCATCAGGGTTGGGTTTCCGTCGCTTGGCAACGACGTTGCGAAACAAGCCGATCACTTCGTGAGCCCGACAACCAGGTTACCGCTTTTGTTCTGGTCTTTTGCGTTTTTTTTGGCGATAACCATATTGGTGGTCGAGTACAAAATGTTGTGCGGGGTCGAGAACCCTAACTCCGCGCAAATCGCACGACGTCATGATAATTGGTCAAGCACCTTTGAGGCAGTTACACAGAGCTTACGGCTGTCTCTGGACGTGAAACCACCAGAGAATACAGTTTGTTGTTCGCAGCTGTCCTCCGTACGCAAGTACGTAAGCACAAGATGCCGAACACCCCCGTATCAGCATGCAGCGCATCGTCCATGCAACTCGCCGAATACCTCACGGTGCTTCGTGCTTGGTGGTGTGACAGGTAAGAACCCGGCGTGCTCCGTCCCGGCTTTGTAGGGATGCGGGGGCAATGGTTTAACAACTAAGGTATCCACGACAATGAGCACCCACACCCCCACGCCGACGCAAGCAATGGATGGCGGAACTGATTGATTTTCCGTCCGTAGACGAGGACGGCAACGAGAGGCCGGACGGACCCTTCTCGCGGGAAAATGAAAAATAGAAAACAGCGTACGTAGAAATACGGTGGAAAATACAAAAACCTGTAAAATCTCCACGAATTTCCTCCGACAAGACCCCGTGCAATAGATACGTCCAGAGAAAATACACAGGAAAAAGATGACGGGCGTCCTGAAGGAATGATGGATGGGACGACACGCACGCACGCCGTTGACCACGAGCAAGCGTTGGTATCGTCCTGCGTCTGCCAAGCCCGCTCAAGACGCGATGAAAATTTAATCGCGCCTTGAGCGAGCCTGGAAGGAGCATGACGGCACCATGCAAATACCAAGCTCGACAACGCCAACCGGAGGGAGAACAGGGAGCGTGCGGGAGCAACGATCAAGCGGTAATCGAATACAGACCTCCTAAAGTGGGCATTTCCATGACCCGGATTAGTCGCACCTTGAGCTGGCCTGGCAGAGGCAAGGCGGCGCCATCCAAAAGGTCAAGCTCGACAAGGCCAACAGGAGGAAGAGGAGGGAATGTTTTGGAGCAAAGGTCAAGCACTAGTCTAATCCAGTGGCTGCTGTAGGTGGAGGGTATGCGAAGGGCAGCGGCTTCATGTGACCTGCAAGCACCCTCAATTTTGTATTGTATGATAATAGTTTCGGTTTTGGTGTCGTTGGGAAAGGTGACGTGTTGATCTTGCGTGGTTTTGTTTTACTGTATCCGACACAACGACTATTGCTTTTTGTCGTGGTGTTGTTTTACCCCCGGATCGTTTTATCCCGATGTAAGCAAGCTGCATGCAAGAGTTGTGCTCTATCAGAGTCCCGTGCATAGCCCCATCCTTGGTGCCGGGATCGTGTACGGTGGTTCGTTAACTTGTAACAGTTTAAGCGACAGAACGGGCCCGCACTCAAGAAACTCGAGGTTGGCCAAAGCTGGTTTCTTGTTTTCTCTGGGAGGGTGTTCAAGCCGACTAACTCTACGTTGCATTCTTGACTGAGCCTATTTTTTCTGCCGATTTTTTTTCTTGATCTTTTAGGTCAATCGGTTGGTGAAGTTTACAGGTCGAGGAACAATACCGGCTTGGTGAAGGGGGGGGGGGGGTACTCATAGTCGTGCATGCCGTAGTCGTTAGACCATTGACCTCGCATCCCTACAAAGCCGGGACGGAGCACGCCGG